GAAGGAGAATAGTTGTCGAGACCGAAAGTGGCAGGACACTGTGGTGTTGCTGAAGGTACAGTAGTTGGGAATTCACACAAGTCCTACATATAATTTAGCCGTTACTGTTTCTAACTAACACACAGAAATTCAGCTAATTCGTCCACTTACCTATAATGCTATCTATAATTAATCCAATTCTTTACAGACCAACATCCCTTTTGTCTAGCCATCTACACCGATATGCAACTAATCTCTCCTCTTGACAGTCATTCATCCCCAGTCGGTAATTTCTAACTACTCGTACACACCTGTAGAGAGATATTCCAAAAGGAAAACCAACGACTTTTGACCTGTCGTAGGTGTGGTCTAACGCCGCCACAGCCACGTCCGCCTGCCCTCGCACCACCTCTCCTACTGCTCCTGTCCACACGCCGTCCCTTAAGGCTCCCCACTCGCCGTCCGGAGGCACTCTGCATACGCCCCTGTGGGAAGGACTTTGGTAGGACTTCACTGATTTGAGATTTTTCAGGCTGGAAGAATACATTTGAGGGGCTTTGTATATGTGTGAGAGAGAGGGAGAGGGAGAGGGAGAGGGAGAGGGAGAGGGAGAGGGAGAGGGAGAAGGAGAAGGAGAAGGAGAAGGAGAAGGAGAGAGAGAGAGAGAGAGAGAGAGAGAGAGAGAGAGAGAGAGAGAGAGAGAGAGAGAGAGAGAGAGAGAGAGAGAGATTCAGGTGGTACATCCTTAACTTTTGTCTTAATAGAGTCGCAGGCCAGCTCATTACCGGAATTTCATTTACTTTAGGAAAACGAGCCTGCTAAAAAAAGACCTCATCTGCTTGAAGGCTTCAGGAGGATATCAAAAACATTATGCAGACTAATATTGAAACTTCAGGAAGAAACTCAATAGGACTCCACTGATTTCAGATCCCATTAGCTTTAAATCAATTAATTAAAGAAAAAAACTTCAGGTTGGATATTCATTATCTCCACGACAAGATAATTTTATACGGAATACACAGAAGGAACTCAGCGAAGGACTTAGAAGGATGTCTCATAAATTTAATTCCCGATTCCTTCGTGCTCTCCAGGAACTCTGAACACAAAAGCTGTAGGATTACTTGTAACTGAGTAAGGGAATCGAGAACAGCAATCGATTTTATCATACGCTTTTATAAGGGGGACTTCTTGAACTTCATCTCACTCCCTTCCTTCGCTGTCTGTAGGAAACATAATCACCTCTTAGGAAATAATTCAGGCAGAACTTAGCTTAACGATTTTTTTAAATTCTTTTATTACTATCTTAATTTGAATATCGTTTCATTCCCCTAACTGTTTTTTTATTGTTAATATAGTGTATTTATACATTTGCATCTATATTGTTATAAACACATTAAGTATATATAATATTCATACATATGAAAAATACTACAATTATTATTTTCATGTTGTGTTCTTACTATCATAATCCTCATAACTTTTTTTCTGGTTAATCACATATTGTCACACTTGCTAATATTTATTTTGGAATTATTCTGGGCTCTCGCATCACTGCAGGCACTACCATTAGAAATAACGATGTAGCGGTGTCAATCGCACTCAAAACACCAGACTCGGTATATTGTATGAAGATCAGGTAACATGTAACTGAGCAATCAACTCTTAGGGGCCTAAATAGGGAAGGTTGATGTTACTTAAATGACAGGAGCAGTTTTGCTTTTTTCTTCCGTTGGTATTTTATTGGTACTTTTCGCTGAAGTATTATTAGAATTATAAGGGCTATTCTTAAAAGATTTTTAAGAAGTTTAAGGCAAGCAGGTCATTCTGGCGTTTATATTAGTTACCCCTGCTATAAGTCATAGAAAATTGTAGTTTAAAAATTACAGCAGATACTATTCTAAAGTCCTAAATTAGTATTCATATAGCCCTTTCATTATGGGGGGAAATCTCGCCCACTATAATATTCCATAGAAACATTATTTATAATGCGTCTTGACACATACTTGTAGATTATATAGTAATGACTAAGATAACTGATTGCAAGTCCACTTAAAAACACTTACGTGAAGTTAAGCTCGTTAGTGATGGTGTTCCACAGGTCTCCGTAAGTCCCTCTCAGTGTTACAGTTCCGTCTGGCATCCTCTGGTGATATACAAAAGGCTCCTCCTGTAATGAATGCAGTGATTCACTACACATGATGATAGTTGCCTTTGTTGTTTTAAAAATCCTTCTTATATGAAAGGTTCCTCGTTCCATAAAACAGTGATAGATTTTTTTCACTACGAAAGGAATTGAATTGTGAATCACGCAAGTGTGGCGAGAAATGCAAACGTCTTGTTTATTGATATATATTTGAATGATCATTTCATTAGAATTTAGAATCAGGGGCGTCATTTCAGTTTTTCTCGGGGGGGGGGGGGGAGGTGAGTGAAGCGAACATTTTTTTTAGGAAAATGAGCTATATCTGAAGCTATATCCAGTCTTGGGGGCAGTTCCTCCCAGCTCCCCTCCCCCCCCAATCGACGCCCCTGTTTAGAATTTTTCATACTCTGGCTCTGTGTATATATATATATATATATAAATACATACATACATACATACATACATATATATATATATATATATATATATATATATATATATATATACATATATATATACATATATATATATATATATATATATATATATATATATATATATATATATATATATATATATATATATATATATATATATATATATATATATATATATATATATATATATATATATATATATATATATATATATATATATATATATATATATATATATATATATATATATATATATATATATATATATATATATATATATATATATATATATATATATATATATATATATATATATATATATATATATATATATATATATATATGACTGCCGCGATGTTCAATTCCTCGCCGTAGCAGTCGTAAAAATGCCTGCGCTCCGACTACTGGCTCGAGCCGATCTCACGGCGAGAAAACGACATATCGCCTTGAGAAGTCAAACGCAGGGGTCTTAGGAGAAGTCGCCGCCGTGGCACAAACGTTAGCGCGCCGAACCGCGGTTGATCAGAAAGGGCATCCAGTCAGGCAATAGTGAACAGAGAGAGGCCTATGTCCTACAGTGGAATAAATGGTTGTTAAAAAAAAAATATATATATATATATATACTATATATAACTATATACATACATATATATGTACATATACATACATACATACATACATATATATATATGTGTGTGTGTGTGTGTGTGTGTGTGTGTGTGTGTGTGTGTGTGTGTGTGAGTGTGTGTGTGTGTGTGTGTGTGTGTGTGTGTGTGTGTGTGCGTGTGTGTGTATGTGTGTGTGTGTGTGTGTGTGTGTGTGTGTGTGTGTGCGTGTGTGTGTGTATATGTGTGTGTGTGCGTGTGTATCAGTGTCTCAATAAAAACACTGCCAGGGAAGACAACGGGGAACCGCTCTGACATATCTTTCCCTTGTATTTATGGCAGACATCTCGGGAAATGACCCTCAGCCCCGTGGAAAACACTTGGCACAGTAAGTGAATTAAAAGAGAACAGAAGGTCAAGACGAAAATGGATGCCAAAAGGACCGAGAAGGAGATGCCACATACCTCCACAGAGCTGCATCGAACGGTTAGCCCTGACAAGTCGCGCCGCCTCGCCCAGGGATCTCGGCCGAAGGAAGGGCAGGAATCCCAAGGAGTGGAGCCCCCTGTGGACGCGACGGGATCGGGGACGTCAGGGTAGGTGCCCAGGCGTACCAGTCTCTGAGGAAGGTCGGGCGCCGGCTGGTAGACCTCCCATAGAGTGGTATTGCTTGCGTCGCCGAGGACCGCGAGGACGACCTGCGGGAGCGGACGCCCTTCATCGTCATATATATATGTATATATATATATGTGTGTGTGTGTGTGTGTGTGTGTGGGTATGAACATATGTACATATATGAATAAATAGATAAATAAATGAACACCACACACACACACACACACACACACACACACACACACACACACACACACACACACATATATATATATATATATTTTTTTTTTTATAAAGTATTTATGTGTATATATTTGAGACCAAGAGGCCCCCGTGTCCCCGGGTCGAGGACGAGGGGGTGGAGCTGGACCCTGTGTGGCTTGGCCTACCTGCCGTGTCTCTCCCCTCTGTTTTCGTTCATTCGTTTGAGATTTGCGAAGATCTAGCTTCGCCCGGGCCTTCCATAGATGGCCCGGTCTGTGTCAGCTTTTTATGGCTGTCTCATTTTGTTCTCTGACACTCGATGCTTACCGTGGCGGCGAGATTGGCAGCAGGCGCTCCTGCCGTCATGATGTAAGCATACCGCATAATCTCTTTGCCATCACGGCGGCTGTTATCGGCGGTCCCTGTCTCAGGAATTGCTCGCCACAATGCATGCAACACCTCTCTTCACGATCTATTGTCTCTATGATCTGCCATGCACAGAGGTAACCTAGTCTGATTCTGTGAAGAATGACTTCAGTACCTCTGTTGATAACTTCAGAGAGTGCCAGTGGTTCATAGCCTGTGGCGTCTGAGTACCAGCTGGCCGAGGGGGAGGATCTCGTTTCCTCTCTGTGAAGCTGCAGGAGGAAGGTACGAGCGGTCGCAGTACACTTCTCCTTTAGATTTTTTCGGCTTGGTTGTATGATCATGGGATTTGGGGGCCTACCCCTGCCAATGTCGGCTAGTCTGTTAGCAAACTATTTCCCTCTGATGCCAATGTGTCTGGGGAAACAGTTAATGATTATTCTTCTACCCTGAGCAAGAATTCTCTGCGCTATGGTAAGCACAGTGGGCAGGAGGTAGATGTTGTATTTGGTTGAGCTGTGTTTAAGACAGTCAATGGCTGCCTGGAGTCTTTCTGTATGACCACGTGTCCTTCCCTCATGGACGCGTGGGCTAGGGCTCCCATGATTGCAACTGCCTCTGCCTGTAGCGAGGAGGTGTTGTCTGTTACCCTCATGGATTTTATGGCACCCTTTGCTGCAAAGCCGGGACCTGAAGTGTGGCTCAAGGAATCCACTGATCCATCCATGAAGTATATTCTACTACCCAGAGGTGTTATGGCTGCAATGACCCTCTCGGCTTCTGCCTTTAGACTATGCATGGGGTATTGATTCCTTCTCATTGACAGACTCATAACAGAACTCTATCAAAGTTTGTGCCCACAGTGGGGCTTTGATAAAGTCAGGATGGGGGGAGTCCATGCCTTTAGCAAATAGCTGTTCTTTGAGCTGATGTATCAACACCCTGGCTGTGTGAGACAGCCAGGAGTTGTTTGCAAAGAGCTTGTTGTCTTGTTCTTTACGTCTGACTAGTTTTTGTTATAAGCTTGTGTTCCTGGGAGCCTGGATGACATTTGGCAGGAATTGTGCTGCCATTAAATCAATTCGTGAGTCCAGGAGGAAAAGGTTTGCCTGCATGAGGAGGTTGAGGGCCTTCATCCACCTTGGGGCACCCAGAATGATCCTGGCAGCTTCCTTTTGAACTGTCTCCAATTTGTCTGTATATTTTTTCTTTATGGCAATCAGAGCAACAGAGGCATAGTCCACAATGAGCCAGACGGCATGTACATAGAATGCTCTTAGTACTTTGTGTCTGGCTCCTATGTGTCTCCTAGTCATTGCTCTCATGCCAGACAGCCTTGGTTCAGTCAACTAGGTACTGGACCTCCTTCTGGAAGGAGAGGGTCCGGTCTATCCTTACCCCCAAGGTATTGGAAGTCCTGGACCCATTCCAATTTCATTCCCTGGATTTTCAGACTTGTGCCTTGAACTTTATGTCTCAGAGCCATAGCTTTGGATTTGCCTGCAGAGATCTTTAGTCCTGTCCTACAACACTCCTCAGACACAAGATCCAGACAATGCTGGGCTTTATTTAGGCAGTATGGTTCAGTGGAGGTGATTGCAAGATCAACAAACACCTCACTGGGAGGTGTATGTTAACGATACAGGACAATAGGGTGTTAAACAGGGCTGAACTGAGAACCCCACCCTGTGATGTTCCATTTTCTAGCGGCATGTGCTGTGATAGGTGACCTTGGAATCTGACTTTGGCTGTTCTGTTCCTGAAGTAGTCACCTATCCAAGCCAAGAGATTTCCTCTGATTCCCTTCTGGATCAGGCTCTCCTGAATGACAAGTGGACTTGCTAATTCAAAAGCCTTCTCCAGGTCTAGGAATACTACCATAGATGTGTCAGTGCTGATTGTGCTTAAGAGCGTGGCTATGCCGTGTGCTGTGCTAATGCACCTTGTGAAACCACGGAGGTGTTCATGTGGGGGTCCCATTTTCTATTGGAGTCGATTTAGTACCATCTTCTTAGCCATCCTGGTCAGGCAGCTGAGCAGAGAGATGAGGCGGTACTCCCCTGGTTCCTTTGGTTTTGGGATGAAAACTATGGTAGCCCTCTTCCAGCTCTGGGGTAGAGTGGAAGTTTCCCAGGACTTGTTGATGAGTTTCAAGAGTGCAAGCTCATCTGCTAGTCCTAGGTGGGAAATGATGGGGTACGAAATCCCATCAGAACCCAGGGCTGTGCTAGAACTGTTTTTGTAGGTTTTTCTTAGTTCTCTCAGAGAAAAGATAGCATCTGACTTATCGGGTTTGGCTGCCTTTTCTCTGTCTGGTTGTAGGTGCTCTTGTCTTGCCCTTGCTCTTGCTCTCGCCAGTTCGGCTGGCAGACTGTTGCTGCTTGTTCTCACAGAGAACTCATGTGCCAGTCTGTTTGCCTCTGATTGAGGGTCATGATGTGTGCACCTCAGGCCTGACCCATTGCCATAGCTCTGTAAGGGTGGTTTTGTAGTCGAAGGACTCACACCATTCCAGCCACTTTTCCTGCCTCTGTTGGCAGTTTCCTTGGCATCCCTGACAGCCTTCCTTAGGAGGACTAGGTTGTCAGGGGTTCTTTGCCTTCGGAATTGTTTTCGGCACATGTTTACTCTGTGGTTGACCTCCTTAATCTTGTCATTAAAGTACCAGGCGTCTTTGTGACTCCTGAACCCAGGCCGAATTTTAAGTACGGTCAATGATTTATGGCATTGTTAAGTCTGGCTTCAAGTACTTCTACATTTTCACTTTGTGATGGTTCATTGCATCTCAGACAGTGGGCCAAGACATTCTGAAACGCCTGCCAGTTGACCTTGTCTGTTTTCCATCTTCGATTTGGTTGTGGCATTTGGGTTGGGCCAACATCCATGAGGGTAGTTATAGTGCCATACTCAGTCGCAGTGGCCAAGGTGAGGTCTAGGAACTCTCCTCTGACCTGCGTTGGTTCTTGGGTACTGGGAAGAGCTATCTCAGGGAATGTCTCAAGCACATTTGCTATGTGATGGCCAGCCATATCCGGTGCCCTGCAGGGAGCCAGGATGGGATGGTGTGCATTGAAGTCTCCTCCTATGATCACTCGGTCATGTGCTGCAGTAGCACAGACCTGGCTGATGTCTAAGCTCCTACAGTTTGGCC